AGTCTACAGATACAATCTAGTTCAACAGATACATCTATTCAACATCAAACAACTATATTTTAATGGGCTATGAACCGCAAAGAAAAATTTGGAAAACCAGAAATTATTAGAGTTAGGTAGAGATGTGGGTAAAAAATAGGAATAGATTGATATGGGGAGGCACAGGGAGAGTTAAAAACATGCTATTCTCAAAGCAGGAAATAGGTTTGGTAGGATGAAATTAGAGAGAGAGAAAAAAAGAAGAAAGGGAAAAGGAAAAGAAAAGAGACCAGAAAAGATAGAAAAGTAAAAATTAATAATATTAAGCCGAAATGAAAACAATCTATTTAGTGAAGAACGTGAATATCTTGAGAGAAGGGGAGGGATATAAAGGAAATGTGAAAAATTTAAAAATAAAAATGCTTAAAATATTATATAGGTATAAAGAGGTAGTACTGCTATTAAGGAATTTAAGTCTCAGAGGTTTTGAATTGAGTAATAAATTTGTGGATTAAGTGTGTACACAATGGGGGATAGGGTCTAATAGTCAACTACAGGTTTATCTGAGGATGTGCATGACAAGAATGAAGTCACATAAAGAAGAACGAAAGAGAGGAAAAGGTGAAAAGGATAAGAAAGGAAGAAAAAAGATCAGAAGTTCAGTGGAGGTAAACATAAATCAAAAAGATAATAAAAAAAGAAAAAACAGAAAGAAAAAAAAGAAAGAAAAACACATACATTTCCCTAAAATAGAAATTATAAGAGGAAAAAAACAATTTTTTAAAAAGGCAAAAATTGAAGATTAAAAATAGTTTTAGAAAAGAAAAAAAATGTTTTATATAAGGTACCAAAAAAAAAGAACTAGAAGAAGAAGAAGAAAAAGAAGAAAAAGAAAGTTCTTTGATTTTTTTGGGAGGGGTGGGAAAAATTCTGTATCTCCCTTGTGTCTATAACCAGCCTCTTGTTGGAGTCTCTGGTCTGCTTGTGGTCCTGTGGCTTAGTTGGTTTCCTAAGTCAGTTTGTTCCAACAGGCGGAAAAATGCTCTGCTTTACCCAGGATTTTGCAATCCTCCTCCCAGGCTAGTTCAATGGGAGGCAGATCTGCTTTGAGCATCACAAAAGAGGGGGATGCAGTGATGAGGCTAGGTTCTGAGTAGAGTTGAGGCCTTTCAACAAACAATAGCTTTTCCTGGGGGGCTAGTTTTTGAAAAACTCACAGAGCCCAGCCTGGAGCCATTCTCAGGGTTTCTGTTTACTGAATTTCAATTGATTGTCGAGGCTGCTAGAGGGAGAGGCAGCCTCTGTCTCTGATTACCAAGTGAGGAAATCCACTCCTAGGGCTGGCGCCCAAGCTGGGTGACTTTTCCCTGGGTGGAGCTGAGTCTGGCAGTTCATGCCGCCATTAAGTTCTTGTGACCTGCTAAATGACTCATTTCATTCCAAGGCTTGAGTTGGAGCTAGCAGGTCCACTGAGCTTTGTCTGTATCCAAGATGGATTTCTCCGGTACTGGGTGGGGGAGGAATGGCCTTCCCTCCTCTGCTCCCTGAGAAGGAGCGAGGATGTCAGGCTTCTACTCATGCCGAGTCTTGGTTCCTGGGTCATCTCCGGTCTTCAAACTGCAGGATGAAGATGTCCGCTCCTTGTCGGATCTTGCTGGTGTTGAGTAGAATCTGCTCGCCCGCTGCTTCTGGCTCCTTTGTCCCAGACTCTGTGGCTCAGGTATGGCGCCTGCGATTGCTTCTGCAGCCACCGATGCCGCCGCCACCGCTGCCGCCACAGCAGAGGTGGCTAGCAAGAGCTCAGATGTGTCTCCTTGCCTGGATTTTCCCTCTCTGGCTTGACTCTCTGTCCTGTGATGGCACACTTGGTGTGATTCTCTGGCTTAGGACTGTTCACTGGAACTGTAAAACTGCTTTCTATGTGAGAGCTTGTTGAGACTCCAGCTTCTCCTCCGCCATCTTCTCTTGACCTCCTCCAAACTGCATGTTCTTCAAAAATTGTGCAGCTAAAAGGAGACATCATCTTATGTTCAAGTATGTTCCAGATTTAAGACAGAAAGCAAAATATTAAAAGCTCCTGATTGCCTTTAATCTCTGATTCTGAATTCAAGAATAGTAGAGACACCTAGTGAAGTATCCCAGAAGAAAATCTTTGGAGGAATCAAAATAATCTTTGTGAAAAAATAATCCTTCCTGATCACTCAGAAAAAGAGGATTTTCAGAAAAGTCACTTTGCCACAACCACTCCTTTGTGAATGTTTATAGTTTGTGCTTGCTAAATATTTAATACCAAATGTTGGATGAAACTAGGGTACTCATGAAAAACATGGAAAATTGTTTTCAGCAAGCTATCCTTTGCTATGACTAAAGAAACTCATATGGAATTGCTGAATTTACAGATTTTAAAACACAATCTATGTTGACAATAATCATAACTAATGAGTTCATTAACAGGAGCTGGTGGCTCAAGGATTTAATACCAGCTAATCAAGAGGCTCGGATCAGAGATCATGCTTCCAAGCAGGCCACGGCAGAAAGGTCAGTGAGAACGTTGTATCCAATTAACTTTTCAGAAAAAGTCAGAAGTTTTGCTATGCTTGAAGTGGTTGTGTGCTAACCATGAACACAGACTCAGGGACATACCCAGGCACTTTGTTCAAGCCTCTGCACTGGCCAAAATTAATTTATAGAAAGATGGAATATGTTTTATCCTTGTTACTGGCTTGTTGTTTTCTTCAGAGCATATTCCCCACATGTCTAGAATACCTCAAAGACATTGAAACATAAAAATTTCATAGGGTTTGGGAAAACAAATGAAATATTTACTGTTTTAAATGTGACTATACATTTGTTCAAATTTGTATTTCCAATAGTTTCTCATAGTATAATGAAAAAAGTTTGATTTGAAACAATTATGTCAAATACTGAAATATATACTCATTAATATCAGCAAGCTGGATATGTATGATCTAGGGATACAAATAAATATATGATGTGTGTTAATATGTGTATGTATATGTACCATATATAAAAACAGAATCATACATGCACACATACAAAAGTATTTAATTTCCTACAGAAAGAAACTCCTCTAGCAAGTGCCCTTGCTCATGGTTTGTGTGCTCCAAAATAGAAGAACTTATCTGAGTAAAGGAAGGCAGTTCTCCTTTTCTATTTCCCATTGTTTGAACTTCTGTTTCATGAAGAAGTATCTCATGGAGAGGCTGGGCATACACAGCGTTATATATATTGTAACTGTCTACAGATATAGTCATGTCAAAAATATTCCCAGGTAACCAGTCCAAAGAGGCATCATGAGCACAGTTGTCCCATGTTACACAGTCAGACTCAGTGTCAGAGGAATTAAGAGAGAGAAACCACAGCCTCAAGAAAATGTCTTCTGGGTATTTGGAAGGCTTAGCTGCCTTACAAAATCTGTGAATCCAGAAAATCTACAAGATGGTGTGTAAAAATAAGAGGTACATGAAATGAACCCAGCATGAAATATCTCCTTTTCATGGTGAAATACCACTGAGAATTCATGATACAAACTTTGCCATGTATAAAATTTGCTCAATAAATAACAGAAAAACCATCAGTGAATCATTATCACCATATATGATGAGGACATTTGCTGTAGATAGATTCATTTAAAGATGTACTTCTATGTGTTTGAAGAAGTCTTGGGTGGTGATCAATAACTCATAGGCTACACAAACTCTGTTGTTGGCTATCTCTTCTTTCAATTCAGCAAGAATCCTTGCACCATTTTCATCTTGTGTACTCAATAGTCCCACCCAGCTCCAACTGAAGTGGAGCAATAAGGAGACCATAGCAGTGGCTATTGATGTGTCCTTTGGTGCCATCTGATAGAGAGCAGGAAACTTGTTATGATCACTCAGGGCATGATCAAAAGGCCCAAAGGTAAACTAAAGGGAACAAAAAAAATTAGATGCTCCTTGAATGAGAAGATTATAATGCATCATAATCTCAGTCTTGAAGTCTGTTAAGAACTATCTCAAGAAAATGGAAGGTAGGTTTTATATTAGTTTTTGAAAAATAATTTGTTTTTGGATAGTTGTATACCACATAAATTTATTTGTAAAATGATTCTTATTTGTCACTATTTCCCATCAACACTTCCCATTTATAGCCCCACACACTCCCCAACTTTCCTAATTCCATTTTGACACATGACCATTGAATACTATGTTATTTCCCCCACCAATCCTTTTCCTATTCCTGTGTATGTTTCCCTTAAAACCTATCCCACTCAGACAAGATATGCTCACTTCACCCTTTTTTATTTTGATTTTTTACACTGTCAGTAGATCAGAAAAGTTTACACCATGGATTTGTACTCCTACCTATAACATACTTTAGTCAGATTGATAATATATATATTTGTAAATAACTATGTGAGTATTCCAGATTCATTTCATATATCATGTTCATATTTTAGATCTAACTTTCATATTTTTGAGGATATGGTTATACTTTCTCATTTTGAGCTGGATTTATTTTATTCAAAATATTATCATCTGTGTGTGTGTATGTGCACGTATAGTTACACATGAACACAGTATAGAGGCACACATTCATAATCTCTTTTACGTCATTGGCAATTTTCCTCAAGACTTGTGCTGTAACAATGGAGTCACACATTCACCTTGTGCTCCTTGCAGTTTAATTGGAGAAACAAGTTTCCTGATTAGCTAGGATTAGGTTTGTGTGCCATCAGTAACCAGCTCAATATATCTTCACACTGCAAAGTCATTTTCCATTTCTTGATTTATTAAAGAAAATTATTCATAAGGATTGAAACAATAAATTATCCAATTATTTGCTCAAATCTTCCACCTCTTTTTTCAAAATGTGTAAAAATTTATAATTGACTACCATTAAGTAACTACACTTAGATATCACAAAATTTGATTTGTTCGTGAATCCAGTCTCTTCCTATCAATCTCTTCTAACACCTGAAATGGCATGAAATTAGACATTTTTGTGTCCTTCCGCACTTTCCACCTTCACCTGTGGAAATCTGTGGAGCCCTAGCAATGTTCCAATCTGGTCAGATGTTATTCCTAGTGGTCCTGTAAGTATTGTTATAGACCTGCTGTCTCTCATGCAGGTGTAGTTTGGAATCTTATGCTTCCTAAAAAGACAAATGAAGGGATTCTTAAACATTGTCCAAGCTCTGAAGTGAAGTGAACATCATAAACATCAAATCCCAGAGTCAGGTTATGTAAAACATCAATGTTTTGATCTGCTCAATAGCAAAAGCCAAGGCCAAAACACATTGATAGTTCTTGAAGATAAACCTCCATAGTAAGCAAAGAAATTTCACAGAATTATTTCAAAACTTAAGACTTCAATAAATTAAATGCTTGCTTCTTTGTCATGGAATAAGTTAAAATATTACCCCAATTAGAATGGAACATAAATGTAGTCTCTTATGCTTACAAATAGAATTCAGATACTTATTTAAGTTGGGGGAGAACTTATTTTCCCCATTACCATATGTACCACAGCAAAAGGCTGCTGTCTGTTGAATTAAGTTTTTATGAGACAGATAATGTTGTGTTTCCTTTACATTAGGGCCACTAGCTACATCTATTTTGAAAATAATTCTTGTGTTTCCAGTCACTCAGTTTATGTTATGTGTTTATACAGCAAGTCACGGTATCTAAAGAATGTTTAATTTAGGAGCAATATTCAGAAGCAAAGTGTTATTTATGAATGATAGTATAGCAAGGTCTGTTCACAGATATAACATATGGAATAGCTCTTACTGATAAGAACAAGGAAAAGAGCAGAACTATCAGGAGAGGGATTTTTTTATATTTCTTTATGTAAGAAAACAAAAGAGATGCACCTATTTTCAAAGGACTATTTTGGAGAGCGAAACCCCTTACATGAAGGTTGGGGAGAGAATTATAGGTAAACTTTGCATAGAAATCCCAGTTCCTCCATTGTAAAATGCACTGATCGCTACTCTCTTCCCAATACATTTAGATAGAGATGCTGAAAACGAACCAACACAGCAAAACAAAGAGCATCAAAGTACTTTTCCTTCTTTCTTGATGTCCTGTCTGTGTGCTCCAGAGTATGTGTGAATGTGCATGTTTTAGTGTGTGTTTATATGGATTACTATGAGTGTACATATTCTAAATAAATTAATATAATGAAATTAACTGGTATTGTTTAAATGGAAACAATGGGGGCAGGGAAGTTGACTCAGTGGTAGAGTGCTTGCCTCGCATGCATGAGGCCCTGGGTTCAATTCCTCAGTACTACATAAGCAGAAAAAAGCGAGAAGTGGTGCTATGACTCAAGTGGTAAGGTGCTAGCCTTGAGCTGAAGAGCTGAGGGACAGTGCTCAGGCACAGAGTTCAGGCCCCATGACCGTCAAAAAAAAAGGTTGCTTTTTTTATTGTAAATATACTATACAGAGGGTTACAGTTACATCAGTGAGGTAATGAGTACACGTCTTCTTGAACATTGTTACCCCCTCCATTGTTTTTCCCCTACCTTCCCTTCCCTCCCTACCTTCCCCGAGGTTCTTTTTTTTTTTTTTT